GTATAGCTAAAACCATAAGAAAAAGAACCATACTATGTACACATTTTAGAACTGCTTTATTATTATCTACATTCACATTGAACTTTAATGCAGTAAAGGGTTTTTTGTCTTGTGTGAAATTACTGTAGGAATGTTTGATGGTTTAAAATTTAAACACTATTCAAGGTAAAAGTACAGTAATACAAAGTAGAATGTCATTGGATTACACTGTTAAATAAGTAAAGACATTACACTGGCAAACATTATGTTTAAATGAGACCTTATTGATTTTTTTTACTTTAATATTACTGTATTATTCTTCACCTTTCTATTCCATTAGAAGCACTTGCTCTCTGATATTTCAGGAGTCATTGACCAAGAAGGTATTTTACTTGGCCATAAAATCTGCCTGCATCCCAGTTTTAATCCACAAGATGGAAAAGATCCAGTCAAAGGAGGCATAGGAGTGGTCCTCCTGCAGTACCCTATTAGGAGGAAAGAAATTCCACTTTCTCACACTTATAATATCTTCTGGAAAAGCTGTTATAACTGCCTGTACAGACACTGCAGAGTATACCAATATCAGAGTAAGCCACAAAAATCATATTCTGCTGTATCATGTCGTTCATAAAATTGATATTTTTAAAAAAGCAAATTAGTGGAGAAATAAAACAAAGTTCATGAAAATCTTATAAACAATTGGGTCCATATTACTCCACTTTGCAAGAGCAAACACAGATAATATCAGTGCTTAAAATTAATGTCTATTCACTATAAAGAAAACAGAAAAACAAGTATATGAGAAATACAAGTTGAAATAAATACATATGAAATAACAAGGAATTAAATGTCAAAGTACTTCACAAAATCCATGTAATGATTTAAAGATATACTCTATGAATCTTAGGAAGGTATGCTATAAAATGAGTACAAGACAGAATAACCCATATCTCACATCCTTCCATCTCTGCTCCTTCAGAACACAATAACTTTGGGACCAGTATCAGGAAGTTATCAGTTAAGCTTCTGGACCTCTCATTCTGCCACCATCAACATATCCACATGGCTAAACATAATAACTTATGTATCTGGAGTCAGCCCCAAGAAGATTGCTGGGTACTTACTGTAAGGGCAAAGTTACCATTGGGGTTGTTTATAGAAATACATGTAAAATTCTGTAAGGATTGATAGAGACATTTATACTAAGATAACAAAGCAGGAATATTTTCATTGAGAAAACACTGAGAAGTCGGGAACTTACAAAAATACCTTTAGAAACAATGAGAAAAATAAATTGGTGGTTAGCGTCTGGGATTGGGTTTTTAACTCTTTAGCAGGAAATCCATTGCCAGAGCCTTTGTCTGACAAAGTCATACCTTTTAGGTCCCAGACTGAATCTTCCTCAGTAAATCTATGGCCACTGATGGTATCTGATATAATCACACCACTACGGTTTCAGAGTGAACCTGTATCTAGAAATCTGTGGTCAGAATCTGTAACTGATACAATCACACCAACAAAGCTTCTTCTAGAATCTCCACCAGTAAGTGTAAGGACAGCGCCTTTATCAAATAGAATAAAACCACCTTGGTTCCAGGCTGAATTAAAAGGAGTACATCTATGGACAATACTTGTATCTGATACAGTAACAATACTGTGGACTCAGGCTGCATATCCAGGAAGAATTTCCTGGACAGAACTTATTGCTGATATATTCACAACATGGACTCAGTCTGAATTTCTAACAGTAAATCCCGGGATTCAATCTGTCTCTTCTGCATTCACACCGTGGCACCAGGCTGGGTCTCCAACAGTAAGACATTGGACACAACTAACATCTGATTCAGTTTTAGTGTGGAACCAATCTGCTGCATCTACACTAAATCACTGGACACAATCTAAAACTGATACATTTACAGAGTGGACAAATAGTCAATTCACAAACGTCAAGCATCCAACAGAAGCTGTATCTAATATATTGAATCAAGCTGAAATTGCAAAAACAAATTCCTGGACAAAACTTGAAGCTGATACTGTGTTACAGGTGGCTCAGGCTAATTCTGAAATCATCAATCCATGGATACAAGCCATAGATAATACAGTAACACCATTGGTTCAGGGTGTTTCTTTAGCAAAAAGTCCTTGGACACAGTTTGAATCTGATATAATCACAACGTGGACTCAGACCCTAATACCAGCTGTAAATCCATTGACGATGACTGTAACTGGTAGAGATACCCTGTGGAGCCTAGCTGAAATTATGTCAGTAAATTCTCAGGTACAATCTGCAACAGAAATATTCACACAATTGATTCAAAACCAAACTATTGCAGCAAATGTCTTGACACACTCTATATTTAATCAAGTCATTCTTTTTAACAAGGCGGTTAGCCCAACAACAAATCACTGGACAAAGCCTGAAGCTAATACAATAGCAATGTGGACACTGGCTAAGTCTCAGAAACAAAAGGCCTGGACAGAAGTTAACTATGAAATAGTCTCATCATGGAATCCAGGCAAGTCTCAGAAGTAAAGATTTGGACACTGCCAGAGGCTGGTATATTCAAGCATCAAGCTGCATCTAAAGCAGTAATTCCTATGATAGAGGATACAGCTAAAATTGTCAAACAGTGGACACAAGCTGAATTTCCAGCAGTAAATACTTGGGCAGAGTCAGTAGTTGATATAATTACAACATGGACACAGACAGAATCTTTAGCAACAAATCTTTACACATTTCTACTTGATAAAGGCACACTGAAGACACAGACTAAATCTCCATTAATAAATACTTTGAACCAAGAAGAAACTATAACTGTCAAATCCAAGATACAGACTGAATCTCCAAAAGTAAATATCCAATCAGAATTTAAGACTCCATTTATATCTCCTTGGGTTGAGTCTGAGCCTGGGGAAGGCACACCATGCATTCATGTGGAAGATCAATGGACAGGTCCTGTAACTGAAACAGTCAAATTGTGCAGACAAGTTATTTCTACAACATTTAATTCCTTCTTAAGAATGGGAAATATAGCAACTGCATGGTTTAAGGCTGAATCTCCACAAATAAACCCATGGAAGAGTGCTAAAGCATCAGAAGTCATACACAGGATACAGTCTGAATCTTCACCGGTAGAATCCTTGAAAGAAGCTCAAATATCTAAAGTCATACCCTGGACAAATGTTGAATATTCAACATTATCTCCCTGGATAGACAACAGAGATTTGAAAGTAATATCCTGGATAAAGACTGAATATCACCCAATAAATACCTGGTCAGAAGTTACATCTTCAAACACCATACCCTGGACCCAGGTTGAATTTCCACAAGTAGATCCCTTTCCAGTGTCCAAGGATTCAAAATTCATACCTCGGACCCAGGCTGAATCTCTACCAGAATATTCCTAGATAAGGGCAACAATTTCAAAAGAATCCTGGATCCAGAGGGAAGCCCCACAAGGAAACCCCTGGACAAAGGCCACATCTTCAGTAGCCATACACTGGACTCAGGATGACTCTGAATCAGTAGATCCATGGATACAACCGATACAGGTTACATATTCAACAGTAAATACCCGGGCACAGCCCTCATTTAATACTATCATATTACGGACCCATTCTGAATATCCAGCAGTAACCTGGATAAAGTCTATATCTGAAACACTTGCACCATTGATACAGGATGAATTTCAAATATTAGACCCTTGGGTACAATCTGTATCTGAAAAAGTGATGTCCTGGACTCAGGCTACACCTACATCAGAAGAACTTTGGAAAGAAGTTGTATTTCCTACAATTGCCCCATGGGAACAGAGTGTGTCTCCATCAGTAATTACCTCCACACAATCTGCATTTGAAGTAACCACCTCATGGACCATGGCTAAATTTCCAGCAGTAATTAACTGGATGCAGGCAGGTCCTGATGCACTCATGTCATGGACCCAGAATGAATCTCTAGAAATCAAGACATGGGTAGAGGACACAATTTCCACAATTGAACAGAGAACCAAAGCTGAATATTCATCTTTAAATCTAGAGACACAGATTATAACTTTCAAAATCACAGTGGGGATATTAAATGAATCGACATCAACGAAATCAGGGTCAAAGGCTATAGCTTCCAAAATCACAACAGGCATCCAGGCTGAGATTTTAGCAGTCAAAACCTGGGCAGAACCTGCAGCTTCAATAGCCACAACTTTTAAACAGACTGCCTCTTCCACTGTAAACTTTTATGTACAGATTGGAACTGACAAAGGCACAATTTCAACAATTCTTGAAACTGAAGCCAAGAAATCTTGGCTATTGCCAGAAGTTAACACATTCAGAACGTCAGTGCAACATCAGACAGATAATACCAAACTCTTGGTTCAATCTGAAAATCAAGCATCTCTTCTGTGGACACATTCTGAAGTTGAAAACAGTAGTCCATGGACCTTACCTGAATTTGGAACAATCTTATCCTGGATAGTACCTGTGCATGCAGCAGCCATATCTTTGCTGCAGCCTGGCTCTTATATTAGCAAAGCTTCATTTAAAATTCAGGCAGAAAAACCATGGATTCAAACAACCTTTCAAACACTCAGTACGTTCACATCATTTAGTGACAAAGTACAGCTCCAGGCCACACATAAAATCGCTACAGTCATGTCATGGATCCAGTTCAAAATAGGTACATTAGACTACTGGACCCAGTCAGAATATACAGTAAAATTGTGGACTATTTTTGAAACTGGTACAATAAGACCATGGAGCCAAAGTGAAACAAACACAGTCAAGCCCTGGACCCAACCTAAAACTAGTACAATCAGAGCATTGACACAGGCTGAATCTCAACAAGTTAGGTACTTGTCTTTGCCAGTACCTGAAACAGTGACACTATTGTCACAAGCTGAAATGGAAGCAGCAAAACACTTGACCATGTCTGATATGAATACTGTTGCACCATGGTCCCTAACTCAGAATGATACAATAAAGCAAATGACTCAAATTGAATCTAAAAAGTTCTTTCTTGGTTTCAGCCAGAAAGGACAATAGCCCATCCCTGGATCCACCTTGAAACTAATGTAGTCAGACCTGGATACAATTCTGAAGGCAATGCTGTCCAAACAAGAATCACTACTGAAACCAATACAGTCAGATTCTGGACCTCTTCTGAAATAAAACTTTGGACCCAGTCTGAATCTCAAGCAGTAAGTATGTGGCCTGAAGATAGCAGAGCCACACTTTGGTCTCTAACTCAGAATGATACAATTACATCTTGGTTCCAATTAGAATCTCAAAGGATACTTTCTTGGGCCCAGTTTGAAGGTGGTATAACCAACCCTTGGACTCAGCAGGAAACTGCTACAACTAAACTATGGACCCAATTTGGAACTTTAAAAATTCTTTCCTGGACCCCACCTGATACAATAATATACTGGTTCCATACTCAAATAGATTCAATCACACCCATGAGCCAGCCTCAAACTCAAAAATTCCAAAGTTGGATGCAGACTATAACTCAAGTACGAAAAATTTCACCTGTGACTGAAGTTGATACAGTAATACCTTGGTTACAGTTTCAAAGTAACACAGTTAGATCCTGGATTCAACTTTATTCCCAAACAGTGAGTCTTGGGACCCATACTGAAGTTGGTATAATTGGGCACTGGACTCAGAAAAGAATTGCTACAGATAACCTTGGGACCAACTCTGAAACTCAAGCAACCAGACCCTGGGACAAGCAGGAAGCTAACACAGTCAGAACTAGGTTCTACCTTCAAGGAAAAACTGTCAGACTGCAGACTTATTCAGAATTCGGTACGTTCAGTACTTTCATCCGATCTGAAATTGGCACAATTCATCATGATTCTTTTATGATCCAGTCAAAAACCCAAGAAGTCAGACCCTGGACCCAGTCTGAAATTGTTATGACTAGATACTGGGTTTTGTCTCAAGTAGTTAAACCACAGACAATGCTAAAAGGAGGAGCATTTACACCCTGGATCCAGTCTGAAACTCAACCAGCCACACCATGGACCAAGCCTCAAGTTAATATAACATTCTTTTCTATTCCTGTATCTGATAAATTCAGAACCTGGATCCAACCTAAAACAAAACTACTGCATTACAAAGCTGACATAATTGTATCACTGATTTCTCCTGAGACTGGAACAACTGGAAAAACTCTGCTAATTGATCATTTGGATAACAAGTCTAAGCTTGTCACATTTTTACCTGTTGAGACTATTTCTACCGCACATCAGTATTTTATAACTTTGTCAACAGAGATAAGTACCATAGAAAGAAAAATTAAAAGCAGTTATCTCCAGCCAAGCCAGCTCACAAGCATTTTCCTTCTTACCCTGTCAAGCAAGTGGTTTCCTAGTATAATTGGTCACAAGAACTTTGGCAGCATATTAGAAATTATTGACACAAAAGGAAGCCTTGATGTCCTTTCTGTCTCTCTTAGTTATCTTTCCCCAGGCTTTTCCTTCCTTGTTTCTTGTTCTCTTACATATCCATGTACATTGTTCCCTTCCTGTTTAGTCTTTTCTTCTTGTCCTTATCTTTCACACTGTGTTTTCCCATCTTGCTTCAACTTTTCTTCTCTGGCCTTCTCTCCTGTGCTTTTGCCCTCAACCTCTTCTGATAATCAGCTCCAGGAACTGTCTTTCTCAAAGTTTATTGAAGATACTATTTTTTCTCACACTTTCTCATCCCTGCATGCTCCTCCAGCAATAAGTTTAACAAAAGAGTTTCCCCTGATGCCTGGATCTCTATCTGGACCCAACTATAAGCATCAGTCTGGACAACAGCCTCTCAATGTTTCCCTGGCTGAGTGTCGCCTAGATATGATTTGGAAAGACAATCTCCAGGCTCTCTGGCTCTTCAAGACAGCTGCTGTTTCTCACGAGACCACAGGCAAGTTAAATATAGTCATCTGTTTGACTTACTACCTTAGATAAAGAGTCTTTTTGAAGCCAGCAACCAAAATTTCTGAGTAGATCACAAAAGGTTTTCATAGATTTTTGTAGGATTAAATTGAAGATATTTTTCTGAACCAATAGTTAAGAGATCTCTAAATATTGAGAGATTAATACCTTATTTTTCCAGTAAGGGCTTATGAGTTAAGTTTTATAAGTACGACTCCTTTCAGAGCATAATATTACAAAAATATCTGATTGCTTAAATAGATTCTATTATTCTACTTGAGGAACGAACAGAACAAGTCAAATTATCTTTATCAGGAGAAGTATACAGATACCCTCTGTTACTATACCTAAGTTTATTGTGAATTAGGAAAATAATCCCAAGCATTTCCTCAAAGTTCAGGACATCAAATTTTCAAACTCGTTCCTAAAATAGAAAGTCAGGAAATTCAATGAAGAGGATAATAATACTAACTTTACTCTGTTATACATGTGGATTCATTCTAGAGTGCGGATTACGCCCTGGCCTTGTCTCCCGTTGTCCCAATTGCTGGGAGGCAGAAACAGGTGAATTTCCCTGGATGGTTTCTATGCATCTCTCTTTCTCCCATTTTTGTGCTGGCTCTATTTTGAATGAACAGTGGATTCTTACCTCAGCAAGATGTGCCAATTTCATGTAAGTCTGGGTAAGCCATCTCAAGGTTAATGTATCATAATAAAGTGATGAAAAATTTATGATTTTTTAATGGATACATTTCTTTGAACAAACTAGATGTTCTTTATTTATATAATCAAATTTGATGAGTCTCCTTTTCTATAGAAATGATTGAATTGTTTTCTTAACAACCATTTCCGATTTTATTCTTTTTTCCTCATATACCACTAAAATTTATGTTAATATGTTTCTTGGGGTTAATTTTAGTATCCAAATAAAAAACATTGTGAATTGTAAAATTATGTCTTGCTTTTATATAATTTCACCTATCTAGAAGATGGCAAGCATGCTATTCCTTTAAAGCATGCTATAACCTTAAATTATAACCTATACTTACACATATTACTTTTTGATTTTATAAAGAGGCAAAAGCAACATGGATTCAGTAGAAATCATACTTTATATTTTGAACTTTGAATATTTAGTATGTATTATGATATTCTGTTATGATACTAGTCAGTAGTAGTGAGTGGTAGCTCCCAGTAGGCCATGCAATCACATAGTCATTATGACAAGCATCTGTGTTACCCACTGTGTTGCTAAGCTATGCATGTTAACAACCACTGCTGTTAATTAAGTTTGGTGTATGACAGTATTTTCAACTTACAATGTTTTCAACTTAAGATTGGTTTATCAGAATGTAACCTCATAACCAGTGGATAGGCATTTATTAGAGTTTCTGTTTAGCTTTTTATAACTCCAGATATGCTGTCCTAAAAATTCAATTTATCAATCTATATTTTGATACTATTTAGCTCAAAAGATTTCTGGCAAACATTTTATTTTCTTATTTTAACGTACTGAAGTAGAACTATTAATATAGATAAGAGAAACAGGGCTCATGTAGAAAAAGTGGTCGAACTCTCACATGTTCTGTGAGATATTTCAGTTCCTAATTTTCAAAATTCTTATGAGTAAGTATTAAGCACATTAAATATTAGGGAGTACAATAGTGTAGGTTAATACTTTTTAATAAGGATACTGACAAAGTAATTTACTTCTCATTTCTTTTTTTGATGGTATTGGGATTTGAACACAAGGCCTCATTCTTGCTAGGCAGGTACTCTACCACTTGAGCTACACTCCACCAATACTTTACTTCTCATTTCTGAAGATGTTCATGCCTACTGAGCCTAGGGATGACCTAATATCATTAATAATGTCCTAGTGTTAAATACATGTGCTGACTGAATAGGGAATAGGAATAGTATTTTGGTGCTTACATGGACCCTATCTGATTCATATGATCTAAGGGTTTTTTTTCACATTGAAATTTAGAAATAATAATATTTCTAATGAATTTTCCTTCCAGAAAAAGCTCAGAAGCTCTGGCCTTGGTCCAAGTGGGTCTTATTGATCTACAGGATCCTACCCAAGCTCAGACTGTTGGTATTGATCGTGCCCTGCCCTCTTAGGACCCAAAGGACCTCTTGGACCTGGGCTAATCTTTCTGAAGCAGCCACTACATTTTCAACCCCTGGTTCTTCCTATTTGTCTGGAGGAAAGTTTGGAGCAAGAGAAGAATATACAACTGTATGACTGCTGGTTACCCAGCTGGTCCCTCATGAGAGGTGAATAATGAAAAAGGCACTGGATTAGAATGGAATGATATGTTTGGAAAAATAGTAATATCCTTTCTTGAGTAACTGAGCATTTATTATATTTCTCTAATCTAGTCTAAAGCAAATCAACAAAATTCACAAACATTTCTTCTCTGTTTTCCATCAGGAAGTCCTGGAATTTTGCAAAAAAGGCACCTAAACATCCTGCAAGCCAGCACTTGTGCCCAGTTTTGGCCCAAGCTGAATGAATTTACTTTCTGTGTGGAGGCCAAGAAAGCTATGGGGGAGGCTGGCTGTAAGGTGACAATTAAAGGGAATGTGAAAGTCAGAAATAAAAAGGATTATCCTTCAACACCAAGATACCTCCTACCATCCTTCAGATAATCAATTGATACTCTGTTCTGTTCCCTCTTTCTTACAGGGTGACTTGGGGGCACCTTTGGTGTGCCATATACAACAAAAGGATACATGGGTACAGGTGGGAATCTTGAGTCACTTTGATGAACATTGCACAAAGCCCTATGTCTTCAGCCAAGTGAGCCCTTTCATTTTCTGGATCCAGGGAGTTACACGGCTCAGCCATGCACCATGGTCCCAACAAGGACCCATAACTACCTCTGCTTCCATCTCCCTTTCAGTTTCTCCTGCTAGGAATGCTTCAGTTTTAACCTCTACAACTGCTTCTATTCGACCACACTTCATTTCTCTGCCACAACCTCAGAGTAAGGCCCAATAAAATTATAGTAAGAGAAGTATAAGAAGGAAATTAACAAGGGATTGGAAATACAAAAGAGTGAAAGGAGAAGAGAAAACTCTTTTCTTGAGAAATGCATATTTTTAAAATTTATGAAATCTTTGGAGTGATTTATTTATTGGTCTAAAAAGGAACGTCATAGTTAACAATACTGTTTAACTTTCATAATGTTATAGAATATAGATGCCAGTGGTTATTAATATAATTATCTTGATTGATTACTCTGACATGTAGAATATTGCAATAACTTATCAACTTCTCGGGAGCAAAAAAGAGTAGGGCTAACAATGATACTCAAAAACTTATTCTTCTAACAGAGAGTACTCTTCTACTACTATATAGCACCTTGCATATGTGTTACAATAATTTTTATTAAAGACGTTTTGTTTTGTTGTCAGTGATAAATAATGATTTGTAGGCTCTTGTGTGCATTTATTTTACATTAGGGTTATTATCTTTCTTCTTCCCTTGACTATTCTGAAACCTATCACAATATCATCAATGACTATTTCTCATTGTTTACTTGATCTTACTGCCTTTGAAAAATATTTCAGTCCCAGAGTCTGTGTTTTAATCTGCTTAATAAGTATTTACTAGCTATCTCAAGTTGCCATATTATAGTGAATAATGATTTTTAAGCATAAGTGAGGCCATATCATTTCTTTGGTGATATTCTTCAAATCCTTTCTCACACAGATGAAGAAGTCTACAATCAGGATCTTATTTATGATTTTACCTTCATCTTTATCACTTTATTCTTTTTATAGTCAGATTGTTTTCATAAATTTTCTTTTTATCTAGGATTCATTAATCGTACAAGAGGATTTCAAGTGAAAATTCCATATATGCATACATTATATTTTGGTCAAGTTCTCTGTGCCCCCTTCTACTGCATATGAGTGAAAATGTGATACTTGGCTTTTTGAGCAGGGCTTATTTCACTAAATGTGATGAGCCCTAGTTCTACCCATTCCTACAAATAGCATAATTTCATTCTTTTCTATGGAGCAGCAATCTTTCATTGCATATATATTCCCACTCGTTGACTAGAGACAATTTAAAATTGCTCTATAAATAAACAATGGGTATAGAAAGATAAGAGGAACTTTTTTTCAGGGAAATATCATAGCTGCAAAAGATACAGAAGCTCATGTTTCTAAGTCAAATTTTGAAATGTCAATGTGTTTTAAATGGATTGAAACATTTAAAATTAGAAAGCTATAACATTCTATGAAATTTATTCTTACTGGCTTTTTTTGCTTCTTTTTTTTCATTTGTTGGTTGGTTGTTTTTGCTCAGCTTCAGCAGACCGTATTTCTCTGCGATATACTATGCCTTGGCAGGTTATGATCATCAGTTGTGGCAGTCAAATCTGCAGTGGCTCCATAATTAGCAGCTCTTGGGTTCTCACTGCTGCCCATTGTGTCAGGAACATGTAAGTTTATGTCCTGCTTCTTCAAATACTATATAATCCATTACCACCAAGTCAGTTTGTTTAAGCCTTCTTTGGGCAAATTTTGCTTTCTTTGTCCCCAAATCACCTCTTAGGTCCATTACTTATTTGTTTCAGGCAAACATTGAGTTGATTTAACATGTACCTCTATTAGTATTTTCTTCCGAAATCCTATTTCCCAAGTACTAACTTCTTGGTATCTTGATTTCTGTGGAGGTGAAATGCAAGGCTCATGTACCATATCTTAAAAAGACAAATGTGGTTTTTAAGAGTACAGGTTCTGTAGTGAATCCATTTTAAGTAATTTCTATGTATCCACATAGGAATCCAGAAGACACTATAGCGATACTGGGCCTTAGGCATCCTGGGGCACCTCTGAGAGTTGTTAAAGTAACTACGATCCTACTTCACGAGAGATTCTGGTTGGTGAGTGGAGCAGCAAGAAATGATCTGGCTTTGGTACTCCTTCAAGAGGGCCAAAATTCCATTCAGATGTTAGCACCATTGGGGCACTTGAAGAATCTAAATAGCTCAGAATGTTGGCTTTCTGGGCCAAGAATTCTTAAACCAGGTTAGTGATTGTTTTGCTCATTAGGAGAGTAGCTTTAAAAAAATAAGGATTATACTTTTAACTTAAAGTTTAATAAGTCTTACAACAATTGTGCATATACCTAATTTTAGGAACTTAATTCAGATTAGAACCCTATTTGTACATGTATTTTTATTTCATTCAATGATTGTTTTGATGATGACTCAATAGGATTTTAAGGATATCGTAAGAGGAAGTTTATATGAACATTCAAATGTTGTAAATAAAACAGGGATGATTAGGTTCCAAACTCTTCTAACTTTGGAAAAAAGTTCTGTTTTGTTTTGGCATGTTTAGGAAATTGAATATTCACTTGAATTGGAATTTGGAGGGCTTTTTTTGGGGGTGGTTGCTATATTAGGTTGAACTCAGGGCATTCACTGTGAGCCACTCCACCAGCCCTATTTTTATAAAGGGTTTTTTGAGATAGGGTCTTGTGAACTATGTACTTGGGCTGGGTTTGAACCACAATCCTGATCTCTGCCTCCTGAGTAGCTAGGATTACAGACGTGAGCTATCAACACCCAGCTGATTTATAAATCAAAATATACAACTTAATTTTCAGGAAATGAAATTTAAAAGTAATTATATTTGCTAAAATGACTCAAAAGAAATGTAAAATGAATGGAATGATTTGAAGGTAAGAAGCTAATGGTAGTGATAAGAAAATCAACAGAACTTCTTAGCATAATAACTTAGAGGTACATGTTTAAATCATCTTCTTAGCTGCTTCACTGTAACCTATATATTTAACTATTTGTATATTCTATTTTCCTAGGAGAGACAGATGAGAACCCAGAAATATTACAGATGCAGGTTATGGGAGCTTCAAGCTGTGCCTACCTCTACCCAGACATAGGCAGTTCTATTGTTTGCTTCATTACTCAGGCCAAAGGCTATGACACAAATATGGTGAGCAGATGAGGTTTATTTTCTTTCCTTTTTTTTCAGAATCATGAAACTATAGCTTGTCCTCCTATAAAAATTTATCTTTGAATGATAAATATAAGAAAGTGAACACTTACTCAGTAAGAGTGAACACATGTTAAATAAATTGTAGAACTTCTAAATATGCTAATAATCTATATTATATCTGACACGTGCTCTTTATAATATATTCACATAAAACAACTGTTGGACATTTTTGTTATACTACACACAAGTTAGACATTTTATATATTTTTTCTTATAATTACATTACCCTTTATCTTAAGGTTCACTAAGTCCAACATTTTCTATTTTCTCAATTGTACAAGAGAACTGTATAGTTTAAATATCAAATATCTTATTTGTCATAATGATTTAGAACATATTTGGGATAAGAACAATATACTTAATCATCTATATTACATCTATAAATCATAAAATCTAAGATTAAATAATAAACTAGGTTAATTAATTAAATCTGTCTCTACATTTGACTTTACAGGAGCCAGTGAGTCCAGGCAGTGCTGTTATGTGCAGACCAATATCTGGCAATGGCAAATGGAGACAGATAGGCTTCACCAGTCTCAAATCTCTAGCTACCATAGTGAGCCCACACTTCTCCTGGATTTTATCCACTTTAGCAAAGGCAGGCCATCCCCTAAACCAGGACCTTATGCCTTGGATAGAAAAACCTAAGTCCTCTGGTTTCCTTAAATATCCATCCACACTGCTACTTTCCTCAGCAATTATTATTGAAGCACAGATGTTTTTGTAGCCTGGTGACTAGAACAGGTAGTATACATCTGTTCATACTATGATAGCCAAGATACCTGAGGAATAAAGAGAAAATATTGATTTATGCCCTATAAGCTATTCCTACATATTTCTTTTCATCTTTCCCTGCATAATAAACGACTTATGCTTACTGCCTGAGTTAATGACTGTTCTTTGATTAACTATATTCATTTCAAATAAATCAAAGTTGTTATTTAACAAGTAAATGACTCCAGGTATGGGTTACCAGAAAATAAAGTTTTTACAAAGATAGGGAAATCAAACCTCAAAAAGACATTTGTAAATCTCCTAATCTACAAATTTATAATTTACAACTATTAACATACCTGATCTATTTTAAACCATCTGCATTTTCTTTTAAGACACAAAACAGTGATTATCCCTTTAGCAATTTATAAGGACTTGATTTGGAAAACATATGTTTTATCCCAACAAAATAGCACCTTTAATGAATAAACATAATTAGTTTGCATACTGTTAATAAATAATGCACACATGAATGAATACTATGAATAGTTTTAGTTACCTGCACTCAACCATGATCATTCATAGGAAAGAATACTACGTTTACATACTGTGCTATTGTGAGCAGCATGAAAAAATTGCCTGGAAACATGCTTCAACCTACCTAGGAGGCAAATTATCCTTTAATTCAGGATATATATGTGTATATGCTACTTGACCATTAGTCTCTATAGGAATTATCTCACTAACCACAACAAATCTAGTAGTATCACAATATAAATCATTCCTATTTAATTTAATAATCACCTCAAAGAACAGACTTTAATTATACTGTATGATACTACATTTAATTATTTTATACTTTATTTAGTTATTTACAGTGCCTGATGTATTCATTACATTTTATACATATTCATGTATATAAAATAATAGAAGAATATAAGCTTCACCATTAAGTACAGTTGTACATCAATGAATAGTATCAAAGTAAGTCTCCATTTTGTAAAGAAAGGAAGGTATGGTGAATAAAGATAAAGAAATGATAAAAGTATTATATAACAATAAGGAAAATATGAAAATATTGAAAAATTAAACTTGTGTTTGGGAGGGAACTGATTAAAGACAGTTCCACATAAAAAAGAAGTGATGATTACAATGGGACAGAAGAGAACTTATCCAAATGAAACTGACAGATAAAAATATATGGTAGAAATATAGGATTAAGAACACTAAATCAAAGACAAACATATTAAATATAATAAAAATAATTAGCAACTATGTCTATTCCTACAGGAATCTATGCATTTCAGTTCTCATGTAAGCCTAATAATTTAGTGAAACAAAGAAAAGAACACATTAATAAACTGTGAATTTAAAGTGGCATAATTATGATGCTAGATTTAAAATGTGCTATAGTCTTAAACTGAGGGTCTCATCAATAATGAAGAGGAAGGGTGGAAGGAAAAAAATCCACCAAATGTTCAGTCAAAAAGACTTCTGAAAGTATAGTACATTCTCACTAATGATGCCAAATATGGGGCATCATGTTTGTGTAACTGACACAACACTGTGAGTTTTCAAATTTTCTGCCCAGTACATGAGAAACACTGACAATATTGATCTATGCAGAAACTACTTAATTCTCAAAGAGAATCCAAATTAGTGTGGCAAGATCCAGTGTACCAAGTTGCCCCTGGATGATACTCTACTCATAATACTGATCCTAAGCAAAGATATGTGTGACAAAAGCAAAGCTTGAAGGACCTGGTCTCAAAGATCCAGCACTCCAAAAAAGGGCTTATTAGTGGCAGGTGTCCAGGATTTAACCCCTCTTTGTTCATATAAAGTGCAGCTGGGAGTGGAAGCATGAGATTCAGGCTGTTAGACCAGAGGTTTAGAGCCAAGTTGCTTTGAATCAGAGGTGGAGATCATTTCTAGCCTATACAAACATAGAACATCACAATTGTCATTACGTATTACTCAGATTCTGCTTTGGAGTAGGGAACTGAGTGGCAGCACCACACATATGACCTTCTGTAAGAAATAATTATGTAGGAGTCTTGAGGTTGAAAATAGAGAGCAAATATTGTGTTCCTGCAGAGAAAATCCCAGTGACGTTGGCCAAATAGTGACTTTCTCGTGACATGTCACAATGCAACCTAAAATTAAAATTAATGACCTGATGTTTGTAGTAACATGGGTAGTTTTTTACCATATAGGTTGTAGTTGGGCTCTAGGTTTCAGCTTTCTGCAGTGGAACTAAGCTGTGCAAAAGGTCAGATACCTGCCTAAAAACTTTCATGTGGAGAGCCTTAATAGTCCCTTTATTAAATAGCAAGTGACCTAATGTCTCATGGGAGTTTTTGTCCTGCATGAGGTCATTGGGTCACCTAGTGGTTCCAGGGATTGGAGTTTGCTACACTGTTCGTTTCTGCACTGCCAACTCTGGCAATGTGTAGTATTTGCCCAGGAATCTGAGCTTCAGACCCTGGGGGTACTGCCTGATGGTTGGACAAGGCTAATGACTGGACCTTCTGTTCCTTTCTTACAGGGTCCTAACAGCACCCACACACTTTCACATTGAAACAGTACCTTTCAGATAGAACCAGTCTTATATGAATGGTGGGGCCTGGAGGGCATCTAGGGTCACACATTGCTAATGTGCTTGTAACCCAGCAGGGTACAGTCATATGTACACATTGGTTCAGCATGAATCAGCCTAGGTGTATTAGGAGGCTACACAACCACACAATAGGGTACGTGACACTAACAGTGCATATTGTAACCCATTGCCAACAAAAAACAAGAAGAAAGATAGGGCTAGCTCTCAATGGCATTGCATGGTTATCCTGTGAGATTCCCTGCAGGATGTTTCTTTTCAACTCTTTCAGTAGACAGTCAATAATTTTGCTACACTTCCTTTCCAAGCTTTCCCTTTTGTCTGAGGTCACTATCCCAGGTCGCAAAACAAGTACCAATCAAGAAGTTGTCCCATATTTATACCTAACATAACTATGACAATGCCATAAAACCACCCATTTTTTTCTGATTGTGCATGCTGTCCAATAGAGTGCCTGCACACTCATATTATAAAGCCTCTGAGCCCTCTTAACATGAGAATCCTTGTGCACTGGTGGCACAGTGTGACAGTAAGAGAAAAAAAAAGAAAATTATCATCCAAAATGTAGGATGGCATGGAAAATGGGCTACCTGTGATCAAAGAGAAGTCTGCACCTCTGGGCCATCTTCCCTTTCAGTGGAGACTATGCTTGTGCATTCAGTAAACTGGGCTGGGCTTGGAGTTCCTGCAGCTGCTTGATTGCCCCTTCCTTGCTGTGCCATGTGGTATTCCACACAGGGATAACTGACGACATACTCTTCCTGCTACTGCCCTGCTCCTGCCGTTAAGACCTCCCCCACCATGACCTACAACACCACCAGCCACTTCCTCCCATAACACCGCCCACTCCATCTCTACCAAGGCTTCAAGTTGCATCAGAAGCTCTTCAGGAAACAACCTGTCTCATCTTGGACTACAGACATTAACTTCATTGCCTAAGGCTCCCGCCCTGGGGTTCTGTTCTGTAGCTTGAGAAAGCCCACTCCAGATGAAAGGCCACTTGGTGGGCAGATCTTGTCCTGAGCTCCTTTGGAGTCCCACAGTGCTCATACTCCCTTCTTGGCATCATGCTAGGGTGCTAATCCTCAGCATGCACAACTAGTACCTAGGTAACAGCCTGAATTAGCAGTTCTCCAAGTCTATCACTCAATGGAGGCTGCTTATGGGACATACCTTGTGAAATTTAACAAGTCTCTGTCTTGACTGCCTATATTCACCCATTTGTGAATCATCTTGTGCATGAAAGAATTGGCTCTTGCTTTAGTTTAATGAATGGATGTGGCAGTGTGTGATGGTGTTACTCCTCATAAGTCTCTAACAAATTTCTACTTGTGTCTAACACACAACAACATACTGCATATTTGAAATTTGTGTCCTGATAAGAAGTTGCCACCAGGGATTGCTGTGATACTGACTGAGGTTCTGATAGCAGCATTTCATAAGCATCATCTGGTGTTGACAAATATACATTGCTGACCTTCGAGATTTTGGGGTATATCTTAACCACCACTCCTCCATCCACTCATGGTGAACCAGGAAGATCCTGATGTTGAATCCTTGTTGATATTTCAACATGAATAGCAGAATAGTTGCCTGGTGAGCATTGGAAGAGAGATTAAAATCAATAGACCAGGCAGTAGAAGAAATGGAGACTGGAGGAGAAGGGAACAGGAGAATGAAGAGAGCAAAAAGAAAACAATTGCAAGGCAAGAACAGGAAGGTAAACCCAGTGTAGTTGGGGAAAATTAAGGTTGGTAATTTGTGACCATCCAGAAGGATGCAGCTGGTTGTGATAGAAAGTGTGAAAACCAGTTTCAGTGTTGTCTTTATGAAACAGGAAGAGAAATAAATGCACTGTGCTTACCAGAGCTTTCAAATTACATTGCATGAGAATTTTGGCATTCACAACCAAAAGACCTGTCTTTTAGTCACTTTTGGGTTCGTTGCCCAGTATGTTTTTCTTGTGCTTCCACTTGCTGTCTCTTTGCATTACTGCAAGTGTAATTAAGGGCTCAAAGGAAATAGGTTATGTGCACAGAAAGACCCTGATGTAAAGAAAGCACTTAGAGGATAAGTTTTGTGTTAGTTTTGGAATTCCATTTACTTTTGTCTACTGGAGAATTCCACAGGGAACATACAAAAACCTGATCTGTTGTCTGGAAAGTGTGCTTTCTCATAGTGGGAGCTGCATTCTTCTACATTTCTCAGTCTAATTCAATGGAATCCACACACCAACAGAATTACCCTTCATAGAGAAAAGGTGAGATCAAGAAGAATTAACCTAGAAGGTAACACACATGCACAGGAAATCAATGCGAGTCAACTCCCTGTATAGCTATCCTTATCTCAACCAGCAAAAACCCTTGTTCCTTCCTATTATTGCTTATACTCTCTCTACAACAAAATTAGAGATAAGGGCAAAATAGTTTCTGCTGGATATGGAAGGGATGGGGGGGAGAGGGAGAGGGTAGGAGGGGTAAGGGAGGGGATGGGGGCAGGGGGGAGAAATGACCCAAGTGTTGTATGCAGATATGAATAATAAAAAAAAAGAATTACCCTTCAACAATTCCATTGGCACAACCCTTATTTGTTGGATACACACACACACACATACACACACAGAAAACATTCCTGTTAAATCACCTGCTGTGACCACAACCTCCATTCACAGTAAGTCCTGAAGTCTCCCTAAGGATGTAACAATCTTCTAGGTGTTCTACTCGCCACACAAAAACTACAAATGAAAGTGTTTGTGAAAATTCATCTAT